TATATAATATTTTTTATAGGTATTTATCAGATGCTATCTACTGCGAAGTTTGCTGTGGGTGGTGCTTTTAAAGTACAAGATTAAAACAGTGAAAAATATGTCAACATTACTAGATTCAGGTTCACAATCTCATTTGAATGAAGTTAAAGACAATAGCGAAGGCAGCGAGGAAACAACAAAAAGTATTAAGTACTTTAGTTCCCCCTGCAGAAGACCACAAAGAGGAGAGAGAAGGAGCAGTTCGGCGCCAGAAAGGAGGCTCCTTTCTAGATCTAGCAGCAGTAGCAGCGGAAATAGCAAGATAAATTCTGCTAGAAAATCCCCAGAAGCGGAATGTTCTGGCCAAAACAAGCAATGTAAAAGCAGTAAAAGTTCCGCTTGGAAAACGTCGAAATTTTTCAGCAGGACACTTTCATCGGGAGAGCTGTTGAGGAGCTTAAAGAAATTATCTCTATCATCCAGTAGCGAAGAGACTGAATGTAAATTGAGCGAAACTAAATTATTTAGAAGTCGTGCATCGTCCAGGAAAAAGGTTAACAACGAAGAGATTTCAATAAGATTAGAAACAAGATGCACAACAGTTAGCGATTGCGGCAATAAAAAATCGATTCAAAAAGAAGGTATTGTATGCAAAAAGGAAGATTTGATGAATCTTATTTCGGAAGCCACTAAAAGAAAACCGGGAAGTTCTCCACTAAGCAGAAGAGTCCCTTTAAGACAGACAAGGTCCGCTTCTTACGAGAGTCCTAGGGAGTTTAGAAGCTGTAAAGCTCCTGTGCAGAGGAGTGGAAGCGAAGAATGTAGACCAAAAAGTAATCTGTTTTCAGACGAAGAAGATAAGAATACTCCAATAGAAGTGAAAATAGATTCGAAAGAAGAAACGCCACCAGAAATTCAAGATGCCAAAGAAGAAGAGAAAGAAGACGAACAAGAACAAGAGGAACAAAATGAACTTTCCGAGGAAGAAGATAATGACGAATCCTTATCAACAGTTCAATGGGATGAAGGAGCTTATATAGATGCAGTTTTGATAGGCGATGCTATTGAAACGTTCCTGAAAGGATCTATGGGATCTTACGAAAAAAGAGTATCCTTCAAAAAAAGTTAACTACTAAGTGCTATTAGATATAAATTAGAGTTGGTTTTATATTGATTTCAGTATCTTTAAAATGATATTGTGAAACTGTAGAAAGGATAATAAGTATTATGTAAATAATATCAGCCAAACTGTCATCAACGTATTAACCCATTAAGCATAAATTATTCGTGCAAATTATTCTATTGTGAAATGAATATTTTAATTAACCACAGAGGAAATGAAATTTAGAGTCGGTATGATAAATTACAAACTTGTGTTTATACGGGTATTTTATTTATTACGTTAGAAAATTTAGTTATCTGGAAAGGTCGTTAATTTGTGTGTGTGTGTAGATTATATGTGAGTATAGATTGTGTGTATATATCTATAGGCCTATATTTTACAAATTTCTGTGTTTTAGATATCGATGCGCATAAAACTGTGCTAAAAAGAAACATTTACTGTTCTTGCTACATAATAAGAACATCTTACTGTTTATAACGTGAAAGGAAAATCGAATGTGTGATTTTGAAATTATTTGAAGTTGTTAGTATGGATGAAACGTGAATTGGCAGTTTACAAAAATAGCTTGAATTGTTTCGAAATTTAAAATTTTGTAATCTAAGAAAGGTTATTTTATAGAGGCTAACGGGAAAGTCTAGCTATTTTTTTTTTTTTTTTTTTCGAAAGTTTTTATAACGAACACATATCAATCATAGGATGTTAGCATTATATTATGATCGATCGATCGATGAACTCTCGCTAATATACGAGGAAACAATCGTGTTTTAATCCTTGTTTACCCCTTTTTGATATCAGTGGTTTCATCCCGACTGATCCTGAGTAGTTACCATGGTTACGAGAAGAGGGAGAGCAAACTGATAGGAATTCAAGACGGAAAGGGGTTAGTACTCTAATCATTCCATATAATCGTTCTTGAACCACTTTAAGCAAACCTTTTTAATGTATCGATCGATCAAAAAATCTCTTCTTTGTATTCAATAGAAAATCTACTAAAAATGACAAACACTCGTTCCATCAAGTGTTAGTCCCGTATAATCAAAATCGATTTTTCTTTCGATTTAAATTCAACAGAATTATCAATAGACTTTTTTTAAAAAAGAAAAACAAATAGATATACTTGCGATATCGAAAATATCGTCAGTAATTTTTTTTATCGTTTTAAAAGAGAATTTAATCTAAACAATTTTTTAAAAAATATTTTCACAGAATATTTTGATTTTAGAAAATTAAGAGTAAAGTGTTAACAGTAACCTAATTGGCAATAGCATCGTCTGCTTATAACTGAAGTAAACTTTTTTAAATGCAGTTTAAACAGTTTAATGTTGTTTATTCTGCAATATAAACATTTACTTTTTATTGTCATAAATATCCCAAAGCTTAGAATTCCATTAAGTTCCTTAAAAACTTGTTTTTATTATTATTATTAAAAATTCACCGAAGAAAAATATATTATTTTAAAAATACTTTTACTAGTATTGCAATAAAAAACACTGTTTTTTTTTTCTTTGGGAAAACTGAATTTTTGCCAAATTTAGAGTATTTCTAGTAAAGTAATTCTTTTCTGTATTACATTTTTTTTCTTTTTTGATTTTTTTTACAATATTTTGCTATTTTAAAGAATAAATTTTAAAATAAATTCGTATGTTTTTCGGATTTATATTTAAAAAATTCTACATTAATAATAATAATAATAAAAACATTCTTTTTCTTTCAAATAATCTAAACAAAATTAACCTTGAACTAATCTTTAANTAACAAGCTAATAACCGTAATCGGTTATGTAAATTTGCCTACAGGAGGATACTTTCTGGGCTCGTATTTCAATAAAATAAATTAGAAGCTGGAAATTTCGAATCGTGCTTAAACACGTGATTCGGCCGACCACATGATCATTCGATCATCGATGAATTATAATAATAATAATAATAACATATTAAAATATTTCTTTACTTGCCATAAAAATATTAATTTTAAAGAAAGGAAGATAAAATCCATGGCATAATTCCCTTTTACGATCTATTATACAAAAACTGTTATGCTTAAAAAACTTTCTTTCTCATTCTAAAAGAAGTAATAACATTTTATTACCTTCATTTTTAATTTTTAGTTTGTTAGATGGAGTACATTAAACTTCTACTTGTGAAGAAAGCAGAAAAAATAATAATAATGTAAAATTTCATGAAACTTCAAACCTTAAATATTCTTGGCGACATCAAAATAAATCTAAGGAAAAAAAAAATGAATAATTTATTAAACTGTACTTGTGGGATTGCTATTATGTAGTTACATTAGCACAGACATAAAAGAAATGTAATTTTACTCCTAAAGTAATTTGCATTTTCCCCTCTAAGTTATCAATATACACCCCCTTTTTTTTTATTGAATTTTATTAATAATAATAATAACAAAAAAAATCCTACAGAACTGTCATGAGGAGGGTAATCAGAGATAATATCTGGATAAGAAAATCTGTCATGATTACATTATATGCTACATTATTAAAGCATTAATTGTTTCCAGATTAATAGAGATTCGCATCATCATTATATATAGAGGAGACAGAAATACATCAACTTTTTTGCTACTGCAAACTAATAAAAATCGATCAGCTAGCTTAAAGTTTGGATCTTATATTGATTGAGAGTACACCTTATTGGCTTTTCTTGAGATGTTATCACTGCCTTTAAGAGAGGTTCTCTTGGCTTTTTTTTCCTTTAATAAAATTCACATTTAATGGCTAATTAAAACATAGTTTAATATTTTACACTTTAATAATCTAATGGTCACCTGTCATCGTTTTGTTAAATAAATGTAGCCACTACAATAATAAAATTTTTATGCGGTAATCGTACTTTTTTTCTTTTCTTTTTTTTTATGAATAAATAAATATATAAATTTCTGTCAGAGAAAATTGTTTTTATAATTTAAATATTTATATATGAATGTTGTAACTAAGTAAGATATTCGGGACTTTAATTTTAGCTTAGAAGATTTATAAAAAAAAAAAAAAATAAAATAAAATTTTAGAAGTTTTTTCTTTAGTTTATAAGCCAGATTGATTGATAACTTTTTCTTTTTTTGAAATGTGCAAGAAAAAAGAAACAAGTAAGAGGCTAGAACCGAACCAACCATTCATTCTTTTATTTAAACTTTCTCTGCACAACAGAGAAAGCAAAAGCAATTGCATTTTCAAAAGAAACTTCTTTACAGATACACGCAATAGCAACGAATCACGTGATTTGCAAAATAAGCTGCGATAGGTGACTTAAAATACTGTATTTTTTAAATTAAATGTCGATTACATTCAAATCACGTGACGGTTAGATTAACCAATCAATTTATTTTCTATAATTTTTAAATTTTATTACTGTATATCTAGATTAATTTCTTGTAAATCTGTGCCAAGAACAAATAAGATTATTTTTAAGAAAAAAAAATTAAAAGAATTATAAAGATTGTAAAATTTTTATTTTGTATTTAAATGTTGTGAAATTGTGCTGTATATTATCTGTATTGATGTGTGTCGAATAATGTATAATTAAATCTTTTTTTTTTTTATAAGTAATGAAACCAGGAAAAATCAAAATATACAATTTATAAATAGAACTTATCTGTATAGTGAATGTAATTTTAATAAAATAAGAAATAACTAAGGAAACAAAATGTTTTAATTTAAAAGAAATAATAATAATAACATTTTAACCAACAACTGAAAATATATTTTAAAATTCTGTTGTTAACTGTAGTATATTTTAAATATTGTTGAAGAAAAACAAATAAACTAGAATTTTAATTAAATTTGTAAGATTTTCATAAAATTTTTTCAAGCAAAAATTGAAAAAAAAATATTTATAAAAATTATATATCTTATTGATTTTAATATGAATAAAATTTTTGATAGTGTTATAAGTAAATCTTATAAAAAAAAAATATATATAAAAAAATTTAATTTCCTATGACAGTTTATAAAAATAGAATTCTGCCTCATGAATAAAGTACGAATAACTNGCATAAGTTAGAGGTTGAGAAGTTAGCAAGCTGTTGTTATTGGGAGGGAGAAGTGGAGCCTGAGGAAACCGGTTAGTTACCAGTACCGGCTGTTGACGATTGCACCAAAGTTTTTTTTTTCTGTTTTTGTTCTTTTTTTTTTCTCTTTCTCTCGACACTTTGGCTGCTTGGCATTTTTATTTTGGCTCCCGGTCTTCAACGTATAAAAATATATATATATATATTCTGCTCTGCGGTGGTGTCGTCGTAACGAAATTTGTAATCGAGAAATTTACCGTCCACTCGAGATCGAAACGATTTTATTTAGCTAGAAAAGGAAGCAGGGGGAATGAAAAGAAAAAAGAGAGGATGTTCGACCACACCAGTTGTCGACCTTGGACCTTTTTAGGTTGTATAAAATGCTTTATGTTCGCATTTGGTCACTTAAGTGTACTGTTGGCTCATGTTCTTTCTTTTATATATAATTTTTTTTTTCTTTTCTCACCTTCCTTTTCGATGTTTCTTTTTCTTTTCTTTGTAGCTGGAGGTGTTTTGAGACTCCTCGATAGTTTACCGAGCTGCGAAAATTATTATTAAGACTTTTGCACACGACGTGTATTGGGCGATGGCCATCTTGCTTCTCACGTCAGCAATCTATTGCTGGTCATGTAAATTTATAATGGAAAGTGGTTCCCTCCAGTAAAATTCCCGATAAGCGGTTGTCGTATATTTGCTTAAGAGATATTTTTTCGAAACGTTAAGAGATAATTAGAAGTGAAAATATGTTAGAATTTCTCCTCGTACCGACTTATTTAAATTTAATTAAAAACACTATCGGATATTCGTAAACGAAAATAGGTTTTTAAAATAGTTAATACTGGAAATAAGGTCGTAGTGTTAAAATCTTTCCAGGAGAGTTGAAGCGCAATAAATTCTGTATTCGCCAGCTCACGATGAGGAGATTTTTAATTGCTTCAGTTTTCTATATTATTTTTTTTTTCTCTTGTTTGTGTAGGTTTTGCCTATTAGATAATCGATATCTGTAGATTGTTTGGGTTAATGGAATTCTTAGAGACCGAACATATTTATTGATCCGCACGGCTTATCTTAAATGTGGCGACGTAAATTATTAGAAGAAGACATTAATATGCAAAATAGGCATTAGGTATTTTTTAGAGTCGAACGGTTTCCTTATTTCCAATTTCGGCTCTTTATACATGTTTACTCAAACAAAGAAGTACTGTACTTAAGTACTTATTGTATATATGGAAGAGTTTTAGATTAATGATAAAGCATTAGTGTGGATTCTATCCGGAAAAATTTTGCTTTAGTAATTTAGTTAATTATATAAACTAATTAGGATATGAGTCAGTTGACAGCTGAGTCAATTCTGCTTAAGCTATTTATAAGGATTTCGAAGATACCGTGAGGGTTTATTCGGATGCGAAAAGGTTGGAAAGAAACCAAATAATGGTTAGAGATGGAGTTATACAAAAATAAGAGAGGTTAAAGCTATTTAAGAGTCACGAGGAGAAGGCCGGTTGAGTCACGTGAGGTTGCGTTAGGGAGTCATACAAACAAGAAGAGGATTAGTCATATATGAAAAGTAAGGAATTTTTGGGGGATTTTAAATATGCCATAAATAAAAACATACGGATAGGAAAAGATTTCAACGTAAAGATTAATAAATGAAGGTTTTGAACGGTTTTTTTAAAAAGTTGTTTGTGGTTCTATGTTTGAACGACTTTTCTTATCTTAGGTGGGTCCTAATGGACAAAAGGAGTGGAAACAAGGGGTCCGCGGAGACTTGGTTGACCGCTTCTGTACAATGTGCGGATTCTATTGCCTGCGGCTACTAGTACCAAAGGGCTGCAAATGGAATGGGTAATCAGATTTTGCGTATCTTGCATCATCTTTTTTACTTAGAAAACGTTTTGGCTAACAGATGCGAGGTTACGTCATCACCGATAAGTTGGTCTGCGTTTGTATGCATTCGGAACGGAGTTGTTGAGGGGGGTAAAAAAAGGAAGAACTAAATTATCGATTTTTATAACGGTTGTGCGAATTGGGGCATTGCGTAGATCTCTAGAGTTTTCGAACTTTGCAGCTTGCTTTTTTTATGTGTGGTTCTTTTAATGGTGTTTTTAATTCCAAGATTCGTTTGTAGAGCATGCAAATTGCAGATATTTTTATCTTTTTTTTTATTAATTTAATTCAGCCGTATTCAATTGTATAATAAATTACGCAATGGCTTTCTTAGAATTGCTCTCAAAATTTATCAAATGCGATGGTGTTGAGTGAAAATCAATAATTAAAAAGTACCGAATATGTAATCGCGTTTCTAACAAATACATTTAGTGTGGAGTAAAAAAATTGTTATGATCGACTCGCCGAATTTATTTTAGTATTTTAGTCGAATGAACACGTATTATGCTCCAAAATGACGGGTCGACTTGCGTAGAAGTTGGTGTTAAATCATTGGCTATTACGAAACTTTCAACTTAACGAACGTATAAACTATGTATTTTTATCATTTTCGGCTGGAAACTGGAACAATTTATTCATTACCATTTGAAAAATAGATCTGTTCCATAGTCACGATTTCCATTAAGTTAAATTAGCCTCATTTCAAAAGAGGATTACTTTTATTTTTTATATAGTTATCTAATACATAAAATATAGTCGATATAAATATCTTCATAAATTCAAATCTATCTATCAACTTTTGTAACTGTAATTGATTGCATAGACTACACTGTTGGGAGTCTCCTTTGTTCCATATCTATGCGTTCGAACGATTTAAATATGGCTCTTCGTCTATTTTATTGATAATAGATAACGAAAATGATTTACTATATTTGTGTTATAGGTAGTTTCTGCCTTAAACTAATATAGTAATTGCGTATATTCTAAATTTTTTATGGTATTTACGTTTTTACTCGTGCCCCTCATCGTATCATTTTACACCCATTCGCTCGCCTCCTACTCAGTTGTATGTATTGTAGAGAAGGGAAGTGAATATAATGAATATTACCACATAAACGACTAGCCACGCATATCCGTTTGGTTCAGTCTGAAATGCGTGATTAATGGAAAAATTAGATACGTAAACTAAAATTTTTTGGTTCAGTCAACAATTTTTCGTATCTTAACCTGATTCAACGTACTTAAAAGTTCCTTGAACTTGGATTTTTAGCGAATGACTTCATAAAATTTGTGTTCAGTTTTTTTTTTTAAAGAAAACATCTTACGAGTATCCGTATAGAGTAATTTTCTAATGAATAATGCGAAAATTTATTGAAAGTAAATATTTGTTTAACTCTTATGCTACAAAATATAGTTTCACATAGAACTTTATTGCTGATTTATAGCCAACGCTATCAGAACAAAGCAGCTTTCCCCCTCTAATATTCCCAATGCTTTCCTGACTCGACAAAATAAAGGAAGTCGAATCAGTTTTAATTCCATATTCAACGCGATGCCAATCAAACGTCGTCCATTTTTATGCCTAAATACAATTGATTCTCGCATGCAATCGTCAGAAGAAAGCACCTGACAGTAATTAAAGTAATATAATAGGAGTCAGTTTTTTAACTCTTTTTTTTTTAACTTTCAGGAAGTGACATCTGTTGTTTTGGCGTGTAGCTAGATTATTCGTCACGGGGAGTTTTTTTGTTTGGTTCTAGCATATTTGGAATTATTGGTTGTTTATAATGAAACACCTTTATAAAGGTCTCAAGCGGGAGCTTACCCGATAACAAAAGTGTATTGTTGGGATTGTAGGGTAGCTACGTTGTGCAGGGCGAATCTGGTCGAAAAATACAACAGGAGTGTCACTCAACCTTCAGCAATACTCGGTCTCCCCATATCCAATCTATAGATTGAAGCAGTAGGTGTCTCCTAATGTTCTGCTGTCAGAAAAATACTTTGGTGCATTGCCGTTGTGCTTGATCTGTTCTTAAATAGTTTCTAATCAGTTCTGAATGAATACTTAGTTCTTTATCGCTCCTCCCTTTGCTCCGGAAGATCGTTATCAAGTTTTATTGAAAGATTTAAGAGCAAACCGTTCTTTATTCTTAAATTTACTTAGTTGCAAAATGAGGTTAATTTTGGAACTAGATTATTATCCATGTATGATTTCTTTCCGAATTTTAAATGCGATAAGTTCGTCGTCTTGAATAAATTGTAGAAAAAAGATCAGCGATAAAATATAACATTTTCTCCAAATTATATATTTTTTCGATTGTTTTCACGAACTTACAATATATATATATATATACAAATACATTTTCCCCGCATCTCCCATCTTCAGCAACTACTGTGAATTCTTCCAAGTAACAACTGTGCACGGAACCGATAATATCGACCATGTCTTGTAAAGGTAGGCGAAATATTACGCTTTCCTCCTATAAAAAAATGAAATCGAATTAAGGTTTAAGGTTGCTTGTTATGCTTAATAATCTACATCCTTATTTATTCAATTTAGTATTTTGTATCGATTGGTTTATCTCGGATTTTTTAAAACGTTAACTAAGTCTCTGCCAGATCTCGTCTTTGTTTAGTTCGATGGAAGGGAGAAAAAGCTAGGTTTTAAGTTGCATTTAACCTGATATGCCAGGGAATTTGGGAGGAGACACTCTTGAAAGCAGATAATGCGGTTTGTGAAATGCTCAGATTTGAAAACTGGTTGTTGGTAATGGAGTTTTGTAGTTAAGTAGTCCACACCGTTGACTCGTCGACACACCTCGAGGCGCGCGCTTCCTACCGACCTTGGGTGTTGACGATTCTGAACGTTTATAGAAAATATAAGATTACATATATATTTTTTATGTATTTAAATATTTCCTAGATTAGGAAAACTGAGCGAAAAAAGCAGTTAGGTCATTACTATGTTATGTTCCAGTCATTCCTGTTTGTTCATAAGTTGTGTAAACATTTCGCAATGACAGTGAGTGGAAAGAATAACAAGCTAATAACCGTAATCGGTTATGTAAATTTGCCTACAGGAGGATACTTTCTGGGCTCGTATTTCAATAAAATAAATTAGAAGCTGGAAATTTCAGAAATTTCGAATCGTGCTTAAACACGTGATTCGGCCGACCACATGATCATTCGATCATCGATGAATTATAATAATAATAATAATTATTATTCCTTTGGGACATATTGAAGTGATTCAGCTCGATATTCCTTTCTTCTTCCTCATTATATTAATCGTTTCTCGTCACGAGACAATGTCTAGCTTAATCGTCATTAATTAGTCACGCTCGGCTTGGCGTTTGATTTAAGAGGATTTCAACAGATGGCGCCATGCTCGAGTGGCATTTTAAAATCTTTATTAATCAATTTTAAAATGTTAGCCATTAAAACTTTCTAAATGAAGATAATTTAAATTTGATCTCTGTATTTACTCCGTATAATTTGTAATTTTATAAATTCGAAAGTTAATTATATCAGGATTTTCTTGTATTACATGTATTGTTATCTAATAAAAATAGCAATTGTTAGTAATACTAAAATAAAAGTAATAATATATATATAGTAATATTTATCGTTTTAAACATTCACAATTATTATATAGTAATTAATTTCCGGAACCTACGATTAGGGATAATTATGTTCGCTAGATGGCGCGACGTTAATGAAAGTTAAAATGTTGACAAATTTGACAGAAAATAGAAAAATTAAATTAAACAAGTATTTAAAACTGTCTAAAAACTTGTTAACTATAAAATGTCAACATTTATGCACATTATATTCTTTATATAAAAGATACATGGTGATGCCCAATGATAAAAAAAAGAAAAAATTAAGCCATCTCCCACATTAACAATAAAAAACACCACAAACAATAAAATTATTATTTTACATTATACATTATTCAACACATTAACACATTGTTTTATTAAGTATATCATTTAATGCAGTTGTTGTCAGTACACATACATTGACGTAGAACATAAAGTTAACTTATAAAATAGATTAATTAAACATGGACATGTAAAATTGGCCACTCCATCTCTATATAGTTTATAATTATGGAAGAACATAAATGTTTCAAAATTTTGTTATTTTTCTCATAATATACTTGCTAATACTAAGGTATAAAGTTGAGAAATGCATGAGGAAAAAATTTAAACAATACAAAATTGCTTAATTATTATTATTATTATTGGAAGTTATTTTATTGTCTTAAAATTAAAAATATCTGTATGCAGTCCTCAACTGTTGGACATAATGTGTCCCAAAAAATATCCAAAAGTCAAGCAATAATAGTGTATGTTGTAAAGGGTATTCTATTTCCAGAAAGTTAAAAAAAATTATTTGAGTTTGCTAGAGGAAACTAGAAAACAGTAAACTTCTGTTGAATTGATAAGTAAAAATAAAGTTTTACTATAAAGCAGGAAAGTTTTTGTTTTTATAACAAATATGTACAATGTATAAAATATTTAAAATATCAGGTTTTTGTTTAATCTATAATTTTAAGAATCAAATGACTTGTGAAAATTATTGGCAGAAAACACTACTGCATTATAATAACATTAAAGTTTTTTGTCTGTCAGATGGAAATGTACAAAAGTTTGAATTTTGCACTTGAAAAGTTGTTTAATGATATCAAAGTATCATTTATAAAAGGGCAAGTTGTCCAAAAGTCAAGGACAAACCTTATTTGATGATTTTTCAAGGAAAACTTATCTTTTACTGTCATATAATTGTTAAGAGTCTTTGTAGCCTTCTGTTTTTTTTTTTTTTGCTATTTTATATCTGAGAAAAATTAAGTTTGTTTTTTTATTTTAAAAATTAGTTGCTAAGCATTTGTAATGTTATACCTTTATAAATATTAATGAAATTATATTTTCCAGATAATCTATAATTGAAGCGTGCAATGCCATAACGTTATAAATGCCATTTTTTTTCTAAATACGTTTTATTGAAGAATTGAATTCTAAATGCAATGTTTTCTGCCACAAAATAATATTGTAGCAATGTAAGTGGCTGTATTTTGAAGATGAATTTATGTGAAAATATAACATTTAAAGTGCCAGAGTGCAAGTCACATAACTTTGGTGTGTAAAATGTTGCGGCTTATATTTACATTTTGATATTTCAGAGAATTTGTAACTCAGTGAGTTTTTTACCATTTTATTGTAAAATTGAAATGAATTCATTCATTAGAAAAAATGTTTTATACCTCTCCTGAAAAGTTTGTTTTTTGGCATTTACAACATTATGGCATTGCACACTTCAATTATTTTTTTTAAGTATATGAATGGAGACTATAGAATATTAAGATTTGTTATGAATTTTTTTTAAACCAGATTATCTTGTTTTAGTAGGTAGTTATTGTTACATAAGCTAAATTTTCTTTGTGATTTTTATATTACTATACAAAATTACATAAAGAAATTTTGTATAGAAATAAAATCATATAAAGAAGAGCTAACCTACATCATAGTTTCCAACCTCAGTCTTTTGCACTGAATATCTGCTTTTGGAAGCAGTTGTTAGCCTGAGTGTACTCTCTTCATAAACAGATTGACAGCCAATACTAAAAATCCCAAGTTTGCTTATGTGGTAGGTTTTTTAAAAGTTGTTCACTCTCTAACATTCTGTTACCAGAATTCTCATAAGCTTATGAAAATTTCAATGGAAACTCTAAATATCCATTAAATTTTTCTAAAGTACAGGCATACCTCGACTTACGTCGTTTCGAGTTACGTCGTTCCCGATTATACGTCGTTTGTCAAAAAAATATATGGAAAAATAAAAATCAAGTTTAAGTCATTTTATTCGACTTTACGTCTGTCCGCCACAAATATTGAAATCGTAATATCACTAGATAAACGTTTAAAGCACATAAAATCATATTAAAATATATACATTTACAAGTATGTACTGTATTTACAGTACATGCATTCGTAAATTTAAATTATTTTTTTTTTGTACTATATTAAAAACTAAAATTTATTTGTTTGTAAGCTTAAAATAGATTTTTATTAACCATATATTATTAAAAATGCATTAATAAATAAAATACAGAACCGGGAATGGTAATTTACGGTTTAGCCTAGTGATAAGTAGATTCGAAGACAAGTAAATTCGACTTACGTCGTTTTTCGACTTACGTCGTTTTCCTGGAACCAATTACCGACGTAAGGCGAGGTATACCTGTATTGCCACTTTCAAAATCTTGTTACAAAGTGTGACAGATATGAAATCTTTTCTTTGGTATGATAAATCCAATCTGAAATTCTGGTAATGTTGAGATCATTCTCCATGCTGTTGCCAATGTTGTTGATGGCTGAATGGTTAAGGTGTTTTAAGGTGTTAGCCTACTATTCTGGGAAACCTGGAAATGAATGGACAGGTTGAAAAATTTCAGGAATTTTTGTAGATCCTGACATCATGTCCTGCCCTGACCTCACTACCCAACTAAACTCACAATGAGCTTGATTAAAATGCTCTCTTAGTGCTCACAAGACAAAGAGAAGATAGAAATCCAAAGTTTTTTCTGAAAAGCTTGATTTTAAAGAATTTTATTCTTAATGCATTGGCAATTCATCAAATTTTGATAATTATTTTTATTAATATAATTTTCTTCATTATTTATTATCTTCCTGTTAACAAAAAAAATATTGCTTATTTTTCTTACTAGCTTCTAATGGAATTATTAGATTTAAACCAATAAAATCTATAGATATGCTAACAGTAAATAATTTAATTATAAAAAAGAAAAAAATTATATATATAAAATTTCTTTTTTTAGAAATTAAATTATTTAACATTTATTGATTTTAAAGGAACAAATTGTTTTTATTGAAATCAATGTTTAAATTAGTAGTATATATGAGTTATTGGTTCTAATAAGAATTTAATGATCTAATAAATTTATTGGTTTTAAATGACAATTTTAATCTAATATGGGTTGATTACTTGATAGCATAGTAGATCTACATTTCTGTTATTAATAGATGGGGTAATAAGTCTATTGATTCAATGGAGCTATTGATTTTACACAAAAATTTAGTTAGATAGACCCAATACATTTCAAGATTTCTATTGTACTAATTGATGTGTTGGCTAAAAATAACTTAGTGTCTAAATTTCCATCTAAAACCAATAGGAAATTTTTAACAGGGTTGCTTTAATCATGTTTTCGGTTTATGGAACTTAAATTAATTGTTCCTTACTAGGTCCTCCTGAAAATGAATCCAATACTAATGTAGATTTCCTAGAATTTAAAATTATATTCCAAAATCTTAATATTTGTTTTATTAGTGAAAGTGATGGAGTTTTGAATTGAAAAGAATTATTAATTTTTTTAAATACCATAAGATAGTTCTGTTATAGTGTTAAGCATTGTCATTATTAATTTGGACAAATAATTTGAATTTATAAAAGTTTCATAAATTCAAATTACTTTTAGTTCAAGTTATATTTTTTTATAGATAAAAGAATGACACTTTCAATGGTTTTAAAAATTTAAAATACTGTACTTAAAACAAATTATATTCTTCAGTTTAAATAGAAAACCAGGAGAAAGACATGTAACAAAATCGAAAATTTCAATATTCTAAAATCTATGGGTAAATAACATGCATGCTTGTTTGAATAAAAAATATCTAATGACAGTGTACTTAAAAACTGTAGTTTCATAAGGGAATGTCTCCAATTCTTGAACCATGTTAGAGCATAACTGTGTTGTAGAAATGCCATGTTGTATGAGGGATACCTGTATATGATATAGATTAAAATATTCATTGTAGAACTGTTGATATTTAAAAAAGTATCATATAGAATAAGATTGTTTAATCAAATATCACAATTATACTAGAAATAAAAAGCATTCAGTTAGATGCAAAAAAAATAAGAAACACAAAATTATAATATAATGTATAACAAAAAAAATTTACCAGAATTTTACTTTCAAAAAACATTTAAATTAGATCATCTACAATAAACTTTATGTATTGTATTATATATTATCAGTCAGTTAATGTTATTAGAATTAGCATGCCCTGAAACATAAGTTAACTTTGATTATAATAAGTATATTTTTTGGTTATTACTATTATTATATTCCAGTAAATGGACATTTTTCACAGTTTCAGTATCAATATTGGCCAATAATGTTGCAGTTATCAGTTAGCATTATTAATCTTAACCATTGTTTAAATGCTGATAATTTGCTTGTTGTGTAGTAGTTTAAATTGCTTGTATTGTTAAAGAAGGTAGCAAGCAAACAATTCTGAATGAATTATGTATTAATTAATAATAATCATCATTAATAAATCTTCAAGTTATACAATTTTTAATTGTTTTAACATGTCCTTTCAATATCAGTCAATTAGACCACAATTTCTACTAAATGTAATCTTAATTATTTACTTTAGTCAGCAGGACTGGCTTTAGATTTTTTGTTATCCCAAGCAAACAAAGGTTTTGCACTCATATTTTTAAAAATTGGCTCAGAATCATTTTATTTTTCTAAGCCAATTTTAAAATTCATATTAAAAAAAAAAGAATTAGTGTTTTTGTTTATAAATTGTATAGTATCTTATTATTGAGACCAAAAGCATGAAATAGTGATAATTTTAGACTGACATTGATTCACAAATTTATTAATCAATATATTATTTTTAAGAAATATTTCAATTTTGATAATTTGGAAGTTATTTCATATTTTAACATAAAAAAGTTATAATTAGTTGTCATAAAATTAAAAGATTAACACTAAATGAGTGGTAATAAGACAGCATAAATACAACTTTCTAGAGTATTTAACAGTAATTTTAAAGGTACTTTAAACAGCATAAATGTATGTTGTTTAAAGTGCTTTTGTTAAAAACAGTTAGCAATGTCTGTTTTAAGTTACCTGCTGTAGTTCTAGTGCAGCAAAGTTTGGTAGTACTGAAGACAAAATTTAAGATGACTGCTGTATGTGGCAAAATAGGCTCTGTAAAATTTGTTATATTGACGAATATGTGTCATTGGCTCCTTTTTGATATTATAATTTTCTAGCATCAGCTACAATGTTGTTTCTGAGTGAACACTTGATTTATAAAAAAAAACAGTAGTTATAAACTTCCAAGCAGAAGTAGGATTGTTTCCTTTGAAAGCATAAATCACTTAGTGACATGTAGCAGCTTAACTAAAGCAGCTTTACTAGGCAATGCACCTAAGTATAAAGTGAAATATAGTTAACTTTTTATTTAACATTCCATAAAATAAAGAAAGCCTTCTTTTTGTCCTTTCTTTTTTTTCAAAATATTTTACATTTAGCATTTTTGAAATAATTTAGTTTCATCTAAATTAACAAATTTTAAAACTTTTAGGGTATAGTTAATTCATTTATTATAATTAATAATGTTCATATGTAGTTAAATAGTATAAAAGGCAATGTAATTTAAATACTAGTTAATTATATAATTGTTTTGATTTGATAAAAGTAGCTGAAACTACTAGTTAACTGCATTTAAAATTACTCAGAAAAACAAAAAAATTAGACTGAATTAAAATAACAGTTCTGTTTTCATTTCATCTTTATTATTTAACATTATATTCTTTTCTAAGAATTGCAAAATCCCTCTAATAAAGAATGCCTTCTGGTTTATATTCCATTCCTGTAACAGACAGCAAATTTGGTCTAATAAATACATCACAGCAACAACAGGTTTGTTAAACCTCTATATCAAAGAACTTGAGAATGACAAAAAAAAAGGGTCAAAATAATATAGCCCTGGCAGCAAGAAAATGACTGAAAATGACATTCAGTTCACACTTTGTGAAGCCTGCATTTTACATGACATTCTCATTCTCACCTAATGAGATTGTATTCCATTAAATTTCTAGATTCGTGTTTATGTTCTATGTTCAAATATAATGTAAACCTGAGGATGACCATTAAAAATGGTGTTTTAGTAACCTGATGTATTTATTTTAACACTTTTATTTTATTATTTTTTTAACTGTTATGTCTCAAGAATACAAATTTTTCATCTGACATTCTGCATTATCCAGATGTTAAAATTTGTCCTAACAAGGGAAACAGCTGCCCCACTGCAGAATTACTGGAAAGGATAATGTTGTATTCTAAAAATGTATTCTTTATATGACAGTAATTGTGTAACATGCTCAATTTTTCCATATTCAAATTTTACATGTAAACTCCTGATAACTATTTTAAGAATTAGAGTAATAAGTAATAACTCAGTGTAAGTACAAAACAAATTATAAATACAGGTATACTTCGACTTACGTCGTTTCGAGTTATGTTGTTCCCGATTATACGTCGTTTGTCAAAAAAGTATATAGAAAAATAAAAATCAAGTTTAAGTCATTTTATTCGACTTTACATCTGTCCGCCACAAATATTGAAGTCGTAATATCACTAGAAAAGTGTTTAAAGCACATAAAATCATATTAAAATATATACATTTTAATTAAAATATATAATTAAAATATATACATTTTTACAAGTATGTACTGTATTTACAGTACATGCATTTGTAAATTTAGATTACTTTTTTATGTACTATATTAAAAACTAAAATTTATTTGTTTGTAAACTTAAAGTAGATCCTTATTAATTATATATTATTAAAAATGCATTAATAAATAAAATACAGAACCGGAAATGGTAATTTATGGTTTAGCCTAGTGACAAGTAGATTCGGAGACAAAACTTCGACTTACGTCGCTTTCCTGGAACCAATTACCGACATAAGGCGAGGTATACCTGTATATTTAAGTAATACATCATATACTTAAACATGTGCATAGCAAAATGTAGCTAAACCCAATTGATTGCTTTTGTTTGAATTCAACCTTTATTAATTTGCAATATAAAAATTTCAAATACTACAATGGCTCAAAAACAAGTAAAAAGGTTGAACTATACACTTTGACAAAAATTGATCTTCATGAAATACACACATTCATTCTGATTAATACAATTGATTACACCAAGGCAGGTAGTAGGTAATTATATTAAAAGTAGATAACTATGTAGTTTAATCACATTAGTAGTTCACTTGGTGTGGTAACTTGTACTGTCACCCCAAGAATCTCTTTTTTTCATACCAGACCATACTGAATCCTTAGTAATGTTTTTGTTTGTACTAATGTTACTCAAATCATAATTCCTATATATTACCCAAAATAATGGCAGTAACATAAAGAACCAGCAAAATTAAAATTATATCTATAAATTACAATACATTACTGTATTTACATTTATTTTTATGATTGTATAGTATTATTTGTAAAGGTAGGAAGCTTTGCCATTCTTTCTTCTTTATCCACTCAACTTGTGGGCTTCCTACACTTGTTCAAAAATTTTATGGAGCTTCAACAATTCCTGATTTGGATTCCCATTTCAATATAAAATATCAACTTTTTTTAAATCAATATTTATATAGTCTTTTAAATAATTTTTATCATTTTATTCTATGATATCTTAAAGAATTTTGTAGCTTAAAATTTTTATAAAATATAAGTCAACTTATTTATAATGCCATACATCTTATGGTCCTTATAAATATATGTAGGTATATATAATTTATAAAAAAATATATAAATTATTGGAATTTTATAATTAAAACTATAATAAATGAAATATTTATAGATTTAAGGATAATGGAAATTTTGAGAATGTCATGAAATTTCATCATATGTTATATTTGAACAAAATAGTGGATGAAAATATGGTTTACTACAAGCAAGGTAAATATGTAAATTTAAATTTTAGTTATTACATTAATATTGTCTTTTGTTTAAAAATTTTGTAATAAAAATATCTTAAAAACAAATCAAGTAAAGATATCAAAAAGTCATAAATAACATTTTAATAAAAGAATTGCAAAATTTACTTTAACTTATAAATACTTTGCATATGTTTATGCTTTATTTCAGAAGATTTTTTATCTGCAATGCTAAGATTTTTTTAATTTGCACTATGAAATTTAAAAATAAGTTAGAAATTAGAAATTGTCAGAAATTAGAATCAAAATCAATCTTAATTCAGTTTTAGAATTTGTTATAGATAACTTTTTTATCTGAAAAATCATTCATATGATTATTGTAGATAACTCACAATGACTTACACTCTGCACCTTTAAACACTTGTAGTTTAGAAATTTTTGTCTCAAACATTCCATACTTTTTTCTTGTTTCTTTTGCTTGTTTATGCTAGCAGTTCATTATATGTGTAATCGTAAATGGAGGAAAGGAATATTTGAGATGGAATTTGCCTAAACTGCAAAAATGACAAAAATACAAATGGCCACTGAAAAATAGTATTATTTCAATTCGTTTCTATTTTATTTGTTTAATAGAAGTAATAAATAGTAAAATAAAGTAAGAAAATTAATTAAAGCAAGAAAATTAATTAAAGCAGATAAAGACTTTAATATCTGTAATATTCTTGATGTTTGAAGAGTTACTTGGAATCAAGTCACTTGGCAGCATGACCATTGTGACTCTTAGCAGAAATGATTAATCACATACAATGCAAATAAGCAGTAAATAATGTAATTATGGTTAATGTCATTGTTGTTGATTTTACTAAGAAAATTGTGCTAAAATTCTAAATTATTGTAATATTCAACAAAGATTCCAGAGTTGATTTTTTAATTTTAGCTTTTTGTTGCTATAATTGTTGCCAAATTGACAGTTGGCTTCCACATAGTTCATTAACATTCAGTATAAGGAAAATTGCTAGAAATTTATCAATTTGCAACACGTATGTTCAAATAGGAGTGTCGTCATTGGGACAATCCTAATTGAATTTACATATTTGAAAGTTGATAAATTTCCAGTAATTTTCTTTTAGATCAAACTTTCATGTAATATATTCTTACTAACATTAGTAATTGAATCATCATTTTTTTTTCCTGTTTACTTTATTATTTAGTGAACTTCAGATTTTCATAGTATTAATTAAAATTTAAACAAATACTTAACTGGATAAATTTCTAAACATTTCGTAACAAAAACTTTCATAATTTAGCAATGATTTTGAATGAACAGATATTTTCAGTTATTTTAAATGGCCATCTTTAGGTTTAGTGTGTATAAATTATTTAAAATGCAAATCAAAATAAACTTAAAATAGAACAAATTATGATAAATTTATATTAATATATACTATAATAATTTAAAAGTAATAATAAATAATAATTGTAAAATGAATGTAAAAATTAACAATAAAAAAAAATTAAAACTTAAAAAATAGAATTAAGGAATGCACATTTTTGGGGATAGGACGAGTTTTTAAAAAAGTTGTAAATGCCAATAACAAGTTAAATTTCTTTTAAGTCTGACCCCATTTGAGACATGACACTCTAGTCTATTTTCCCCTTGATTTATTATTTTCAAAATGTAATAGCACCAATATTCCATATATAGAAATACAGTAGAGCGTCATTTATCCAAATCAATTGGGGACTGGGGTTGTTCGGATAACTTATTTTTTTGGATAATCGATTGTGTACGAAAAAATATATTAACCTATCCCATGTTGAAATTTTTTCTGTTGCGTGTCAGTTTGCGTTGAATTTTCGTTGATGTTAAGCCTAATGAAACTTTTTATAATAATAATCGTGGCTTTTGTATCGTTAAAAATTATTTCTTTATTTTGTACAAACAAAATAAATATATTGAAGAATATAAAAACAAAAAAAAAATACTTTAGGAGTTAATCTAGTATCAAAAATGTTCAATTCAGCACGACACACAGTCCTCAGAAAAACTCTACATAAAAGTGCCAGTGCTGTCAGCTAAAACACATGCACCAACAAAAAAAATATTGGAGTAGCCCAAGACATAGCCAAAGGTTGCAGCGCCACAGCACTAGTGGAAATTTAAATTTGCCGACTGGAATGCTTTTGGTTAACCAACGTTTCGGTTGACCAGCTTTCAGATAAATGGCACTCTACTGTATTCCTGCCAAGTTTCAAAATTTTATCTATGGTGAGATATAATACAAAATAGACAAACACAACCACACACAATTTCATAAGGAGTTTCTTTTACATTTTTGGACTCATGGAATGTTAATTTAAAAATACAAAAATGGAGGTGTCAAATTTTGACCAATTATCACACCTTTTTTCCCTTCCTATTTTCTAATTGTCAGGAAAGTAAATGAGTACAAACATCTAATCAAAATGTTGTTTCTCTTTTTATAAAATGGATATTTAATTATATAATTCATGAAATATGATGATTGCAAAAATATTTGTTAACTGTTTAGAAAACATTCTTATTTTTTATTGAAAACAGTTGCATTCTTTTGTATCCATAGATGACAGTTCTTTGTACATTTTATAACTTATTGAATATCAGATTTCAAAAATACCATATATGTCAACCCAATTAAATTACTACTGCCAAATGAACTGCCAGATTATCATACTGTAACAAGGCTAATTTGATGATTAGATATAAAGCAATTTGGCTTTCATCTAATTTATTAATTCCAAATCAACTGCTGGATTAATCATTAGAGAGTGGCATAATTGTCTACCTATAACCAAGTTACTTTCTATTTCATCATTCAATTATCTTTATTACAATCCAATGACTAATTTAGCAGTTTGTTTAGCATTAGATTTCAATATATAGCAAATAATAATTTGGACCTAAATAAAATAAATGTACAGAGAACATGAGTTAACCTTTTTCCATAAAACGGATATATTGTATTTTATTTAAATATTATAATAGATATTTAAATATACTAAATATTTTAATATACTGAATTTCATACATCAAATTTTAATATTAAAAATGTGTAAGTTTTAGTATTTTAATCCCTAATTCTCATCACATTAAAATAGTCTTTATTACTTTAATTTTGTTAAAGAAATGAAAAATATGAAAATTTTTTTGATAAAGTTTTGTCGATCTCTTAAATTAATTTGCACAAACAACCACTATATATATGCAAATATAATGTTTGTTCATGTAGAGTAATCTAACAGGTGTTTTTATATATGATCTTAAATTTACATAATGTTTTTGTGATAAGTTTTCATTTGAGAATTCTATATTTAGAACAAGTAAAACGGCAAAACTATATTTGGGACAAGACTATGTCTTGGAGACGGAATCACTTTGATGCTCAAGGCAGGTCTCATTCTCATTCTACTATCTTCTTTGATATCGCTGCTTTTGGGCACGATTGTTCAAACTTCGCCAGCCACAACCACGAGATCGTTCACGATGCATCTTCGATGAAATTAACCTATCTAATTTCAAAATTTCTCTTTGTTGCGTGTTGGTCCAGGTTGAATTTTTGTTGATGCGTAACGAAAAGTTCTCGTTTTTGAAAAAAATAATTGTGGCTATTGTATTGTTCAAAATTATTTTTTATTTTGCACAAACAATATACAGTTTAACCCAATTATAATGTCATCGAATGTAACGACAACACTAATATAACATCAAATTTTTATCAGTCCTATGATTTTACTATACTAGATAATATTAAAAAAAACCACTTGTAACGACATAAAACTGTTTTAACGTCATATTTGAAGCACTCACAAATTTACAAAATTAGATTACAAATTTTATTTAACATAAAAGAAACTGTGTTCGGTCCTAAGGTCAGAGTTTACTACTTAGAATGACTGTGGGTGGTATTCTCCCCTATCTGACTTCGGTGGCTGTTTTGCCTGTTTGTAGAAGAGGGTCGCCATTTTGGATTTTATTTTTACTCGGTTCTCGGTCCCCTGACTACCTATGAGTCTGGATTTTTTATGCTCAAATGATTTGGGGACCTAATACTCTGTGCCAAATATCAACTCTCGACACACACTCTTTCATACCTCTATGCTGGTAACAACATCGGGCAGTACGATTTTATAAAAAAGACAGTCTTGTCAATATGATATAAGTAAGTTATATATAGTAGTAATGCAAGTTTGACCTTATAATTTCATTAAGTATATTTAAATATTTTTTCAGTTAGAAAGTTACATCTATTCATTAAACATTTTCACCTATTTAATACAAAAACAGAACAGTTTATTAAGCACAATATTATAATTGTTTTTGATCTATAACATATTATCCTACATGCTACTTATCATGGATTTATAATGTCTGCTAGGAAAGTTATATTAATAGCTACTAAGAACTCTCATTTTACAGTTAATAATTGTTAACTTCACAAAAAAATTGTTATAATGATAAGTGATATACAGTGGAATCTCGGTATACGACCTTAATCTGTTCCTGATGTTTGGACTTATACCGAATTGGACGTATACCGAACCAACCTTTTCCATAAGAAGTAATGTAAAAATGATTAATCCGTTCTCACGTAAAAAAAAATGGCTGGCTTTAAACACCTCGCTTTCCTGGCTAGTTCCCGCTTGATTTTTCATGAGATCAGCGTGTATCTTTTTAGCTTTCTCGCAAATAATTGCTTCCAATACGCTGTCGCCAGCACACGTTTTTCAGTTATCCAAAGCAAAAGCAATTTCTCGACAGGATCTAATGTCTTCGATCTCTGTTTAGAAATTGATTTAACCCCTTTCGCAACGTTAGCAGATTTAATAATATCTTTATTTTTCACGATTATCGATATCATCATTCTCGGAATACGGTATGCAACAGTTAAAATCTCGAACACGTGTGCCACCTTCATATTTCTCAACAATTTATTTTTTCAGTTCCATTGTGATTCTAGTCATTTTTTTTAGTTTTATGTCGCT